GGGAAAGAGATAAGAAGTCCTCTCTCCCAGAAATATACTATTCACAAGGACATAGACCCCAGCTAATTGGCATCTTCCAAATCCATGGAAAAACTGGTTCAATCCAGTTCCTAAAGTCTCAGTGAAACAAAGAAATCTGAACAACACCCATCGGAATATTTATGTAAATAAACCACATACAAATGTTGGGTGTAAACAGGGGAAATCTGGAGAAGATCTGAGCAAATTCAAGACAACCTGCTACCAGCCTGCATGCCACCATCCTCCTCCGTCCTGCATCTCGCCCAAGTGGTATAGGTGAGAATCTGTATTGTGCTGTTACAAGCAGTTACATAGAGACAAGTGCTTATTCTTATGCTTTGGGATATAATCAATAAAAGGTTGGGTTACAGACCTGTCTCTTGCCTCTTTTTCTGACTTCAGTGGTAGTAATACATGGCCTGCTAAGAGGGAATGGAGGATCATTGGGAAATGTGATTGTATCTTGATTTGGTTTACAAAAAGAGTAATCATTAAGGGAATTGCAAATTGTCCCTGAATTCTGTGTCTAAACTTGCAAAGGAGTCCTGATCATAGACAAGCTGTAGTCTTGTCTCTCAAAAGATCAAATGGTACTGGGTTTTTGGTAACATCACCATACCTTGGTCTCACACTTGGGGTTTCCATCTGGGTCTGTACGAGTTCCTCCAAACTCCACAGGGATCTCCTCATGGTCGATGTACTTCTGCAAGACTTCCTTCCAGTTTGCTAACAGGAGAGAGAGAAGCCGCCAACTTACAGGAGTAGGAATCACAGCATCATAGAACCACAGAAAAGCAGGGCTGGAAGGGACCTTCAGAGATCATCTAGTCATCTAGGAGTGTCCTGTTATGCTCTGAACAGCATGCAAAAGTAACAGGAAGAGTTTCATTTTGATGCATTTCTAAGTAGTACTTGTTTCCTTTGAGGCCACTTTTGGAGCACTTCCCTATTTTTGGAGCACTTCAAAGGGCTTGAGTGTCTGCCCAGCTCCCCCTGTGAAGCACTTCAGAGGCATTTGAAGTACTTCAGATGTTACATCTGTCTGCACCCTCAGGATGAGGGCTGCGGGAAGTGGGGTAGAATCACAGGTGAGAATAGTGGTCACTTCCTCACAGTGCGCTATATCCTCCCACCCTGCATTCAAGCCCTAGCTGTTGGGGGTGACAATACTCCTGGACAAAACAGTTGACCTAGTGAAGATAGGTTTGTGCCTAAGACATGCTTTTGGTACTAATACAAGTTGCTGAGACAAGGCGAGGAAGTCTGCAGGGAAATAATACTCCCTTTTTTGTGGGACCTTGCAATGGGATTGAAGTAGCAGAGGAAAATGGAACAAACAGGATGAAAAGAACAAGTCTGAACCTTTGGCAGCTGAGTAAATGCTGGCAGGAGTCCAGCACCAGGGCTCAAGAGGCTGAGATTGAAGAGGCAAGTCCCTGGCTGATGCTATCTAAGCCCCACATTGTTCCCAGTGCAATGTACATTCCAGGCAAAGGGCAATGCCCTGGTGGTTACTCTCCAGGGACAATTGGGTGCTATTGACAGCAAGACTGCTGCACAGAACAAACAAAATTAAAGGCCATGATAGCTACAGGCAGCAGAAGCACTTTGTGCCTCCATAGCTGTTCTGAGTCTGAGCCAGCAATTGCCAACCAGGGTGCCACAGCATGCTGGGGTGCCTTGAGATTCTTTCAAGGTACCTCAGGCTACAACACAATGTTACAACTGTTAACTGTGCAGACATGATTCACAGGGAATCCATAGTGTTTAAAAACTTTCTGCTCTACTGTGGTCTTTCTGAGTTCTTTGAAACAGAAAAAATACTCTATTATTTTTCTGTAGTCAAAAAATGAGTGAAAACTAAGAGCAGGCATTTTCCAAGATGTGCCTTGAGTCTAACAAGGTTAAGAACCACTGGTTTGAGTGCTTGGCTTCATTGTCCACCTTATATCACAGTTTCGCATGCTGTCTGGGACTGAAATCCAGCTCCCATCAGGTACCAAGCTGATGGGACATAGCCCCTTCCCCAGGGCACAGGTTTCCAGAATGAGAACAGGGAGGGACATAGGGTTGCTCTCTTTTACTAGTGAACTTTAGTGAAATAGGGAAGACAACACTGTCAGTACAGTCCCTGTCTCTTGCTCTCAGCTCCACTGTAGAATTTCTGCCCAGCATCTTCCCTATCCCCAGCCTGCCAATGTAAAGACTCGATATGCCCCTTCTCACATGCATCAAAAATCAACATCACATCATGTCTTACTACACAGAAGATGCTTCCAGACCAGAAGAGGAAGGAATCATGAGCCTATTGCTTAGGCATGGGACTAGGACTCAAGGATCTGCACTTGAGCCTAGCTCTGACCTTGGATAATTTGCATAATCACTCTGGGCCTTAGTCCCCTGCCCATACAATGGAGATAATAGTCCTTCCCTTCATCTGTCTTTCTTATATAAACTGTGAGCTCTCTGGGGTACAGACCATCTCCAGCTGTGTGTGTGCAGAGTCCAGACCACTGTGGGGCCCCCAGGTGCAATTGCCAAATAAGCCATGCTAAAAGACAAGATTGAGGTATGCAGCCAGGGGGGGTCTATCTGATGTGGGCAGGATTCTGCTCCCTGAGGCCACCCCACCAGCATCTTCCTGTTAAAACTCTAGAGGTTTTAACACTCGAGTTGGTTCCCACCCCTCTCCTGACCTGACACAAGTTTAATGGGGGTGAAATTAATGCAGGCTTTTGGTTTTCATTGCTCTATGTAAGGGAAGAGAAGACACACCGGTGGCAGAGAGTAAGACACGGGTTGGAAGGGTGCTTGCAAGCAGCCATCCCACACAGAGCCACACAGGGATCCTTCTTCTCCTGGTGTTTCCAGAGGGGAGGAGGAAGGAATGTGAGCTCCACTATAAAGAAAGACTTGGAGCAGATAAGAGGGAACAACCAGAACTGGAAGTTCCTGAATCCAACAGAGTGAGACCAAGAATGGCTGAGAGCAATCCAAGAGGCTGCAAGGAAGGCTCTTCAGGGAGTCAGCTCTAGTGAGAGAGCTGGCAGGGAAGAAGCCAAGACAAAGCAGCTTTCAGGTAAACTGAAGCCTCATCACAGCAGCCCAGGGAGAAGGACTGAGAAGGAGGCACAGTAAAGACCTGAATAGAAGGACTGAGAAGGAGGTACCATAAAGACCTGAATAGAATAGAAGGACAGAGATAAGTTAACTTTGTTTTCTCCACCTGGGAAGAGGGGAAGAACCCTCCTAGACACAGAGCGATAGTGAAGAGTAACTATCTGCACATAAGCCGGGAGGCTGTTTAAACACAAGTCAGTTCATTTTCTAAAGCCCTGGTGGAAGCTAACCAGGACTAAGTTGGTAGTGACTTATTTGAGTCAGAGGCATAGGAAAAACTCTGATAGACTCTGGCAGATTATATGGACTATAAGTTAACACCCGGTGGAACGGGAGAGGGTATAGGGGTTGGTGGAGCCCTCACTATACTAAGGCAGATCGAAGGACCATTGTGCAAGAAGCTACATGCCCAGACATTTCTTCTTTTCTCCCTTATCAGCAAGTCGTGGCAGGGGAGAGTGTGGGATCTTTTCTCCCTTATCAGCAAGTCGTGGCAGGTGAGAGTGTGGGTGTGCAGAATATTACATCAAGAAGGGTCCTGGTACTCTTCAGCCAGCTGGCTGAAGAGCAACAACTGCCTTAGTAGAAAAAAAAAGAAAAGGAAAACCTTACGGAGAAGGTGATAAGCATCCGGGACTAATTGATTACTTAAATTGAGGTGAATCTGACATCAATTACACTTTAACGTTCATCAGGAATGGACACTCTACAGGAGTCAGTACCTTCAGTGGTGTGAATAGATCAGGCCAGGGAACAGGCTGTGGTCACTCAGTGACCATAGAGCAGCAGAGGGAGATCACAGCTGGTCTGGCAGGGCTTTTTTCAAAAAGGTAATCAGGAAGCTGAGAAGCAAACATGGGTCAAGATATCAAGGTGCCCCTGGTCTACCTGCACATTTCCTTTTTACAGCAGCAAACTAAAAGCTTACACATGGTCACACAGAGGGTTCCTAAGACTTTACTGACCAAACACATGAACTGCTTTGGGGAGGACAGCATTGGCCACAACACTTTAGGACAGCAAGCAAAGAACTCTACAGGGGGATTTAGGAGGCAGAATGTAGCTATGGAAAATGAATTCGACCAAGGTACTTAGTTTCATTTATCAAAAAGAATCACAGAATTTGGTATGATCCACAGCAGCCCCAAATGTGCCTTTGTAAGCTGTCTAAGATACAGCACAGTGCTCCCTAGCATCACACCAAGCCATTGGTACCAGCAGTGAATCAAAAGGAAGACTGTCACCAGTTTTTTTATTGTAACAGTCTCCCATCCAACTGCTCATCAGGCCTGGCTTTGCTTAGCTAACAGGACATAGCAAATGACTTTGAATAGGCTCATTTATTCTGCCCAGCACTGAAATAGCCATGAGACTTCTTCCTGCCCTCTAACTCTCCAGCTGGTGATACTAGAGCTGCAACTAGCCAATAGGAATCAATATTTTATGACATCACACTGCCAAACAGAGATTAGGTGACTGGATATTTTCTTCCCCTTAGAGGAAGGCTCTGGGAAAGGGGTAGGTTCTACCTGCTGATCACTGTGGGGGGCAGGGACAGAGGGGAGGGGAAAGGCAGGAGCAGAGGGAGAAGATAAACTCACCTCCCAGGACCACAATCTTCTTGCGGGTGTCTTCACTCAGGAAGTGCTTGATAAGGTTGTAGGCCACAGGAAAGAGCTTGGGAGCTACAAAAGAGGCAGAGAGAAGGTAGTGACATGGGCCAGAAATCCTCCATGCCACACTTGGCCCACTACCTCCTGCACCATCCCCTATTGGGCACCTTACTTATCCTAGTCCCAATCTCTAGCCTGGACCACCAGTGCTGCACAACAGAATGGAGAGAAGGTGGCCAGGTACAACTACAAAGTTCATGGTCAATAGTGTGGTGCATCTCCTGGATTTAACCATGGCATCTCCAGCTGGGAGATAATCAACTGTGCTTCACCACCTAGGTGCCAGACCAATAAATCCGTGCCCGTGGTGGCAAAAATGCAGCATCTTCCAGTGGGTCTGCACAAATCAATGCCCAGAATGACTTTTCCTTATTTTTGTCATCTGAGGCAGACTCACAGATGCTGTGTGGCCCTCAAATGCATGTCTATGTTCTGCATGAGAATGCAAATGCATGTATGCCTGCACACAGAAAGGAACACTCCCCAAGGCACGTCCTGCATGGGGTTACACCCACCTTTAATGATAAACAGACGCTTCAGGGTCTCAGGGTAGTTCTCCTCAAACATGCCAAGGAACTGAAAATCAATAGAAGTTTTAGTCAGTTGGTGCAAGGTGGAAAAAGATCCCTCCACAGCCCCCATAAACCCCAGTACCATATGTCTGATCAGTACATATGGGGCTGTGCAGAACAGAGAGGAAAATGAATCCAGGGTGCTCCACCAGCCCATCCCCAAGTCAAAGTGAGAGAGCTGCAAGAAGACTTCAGTGATTTCAGTCAGCCCTTTCCCTCCTCCTGCTCCCCCTCTGACTTGGTACAAGGCTTCTGCAACAAGGGACAATTGGTTTGTTTGCTTTAAACAGCAGTGCTCCATCTCTTCCACTACCAAATCTGAACTCCAAGTGTCCTACCTTGTGTCAGGAACACAGGACAACAGAATCAAAGACCCAAACCCAGCAATAAATGCAAGTAGAGGTCTATAACAAACAATCCAAATCCCAGTTTCTCAGGAATGGGGACTCATGCTGGGGACAGACTGTCAAAGAGCCCCAGCTCCTAGATATTTAAAAGGGCATTAAAACATAAACACAACTGACAAAATGCACATGGGAGATGAAGATGGTCTTATGGGACACCTAGACACTAAGATACACTCCTTTTTACAGAGAGTAATTTTTCCTCCAAAAGAATAACTCCATGGGATTAAAGCTTTTCATGCTTAATAACACAGCCTTGGAGGAAAACTAGATCTCATGATTTCTAAAGTAATTAAATGATTTTGAGGGGCGGGGGCCTGGGTTATGTCTTTGGAAAGCTTGAGATTAGTCAGTACACAAGGACATACTTGTTCAAAACCTCTTGTATTTGAACTACTGGTATGACCTTGTACAGAAAGGACAGGGTGGGGAAGAAAGGGGGAGGGGTTGCGCTCTATGTCAGTGAGCAATATACATCGACCCTCATCAAGACGGAATCCAAGGATGAGGAAGTAGAAGGATCGTGGGTTAGGCTACATGGGGGGCAAGGAGAAAGGGATTTGGTGGTAGGGGTCTGCTACAGACCCCCACATCAAGGGGAAGAAAGAGATTCAGGGCTCCTGAGGCAGCTCACGGAGACCATAAAAGCTAAAGAGGCGGTAGTCATGGGGGACCTAAACTACCCGGACATCTGCTGGGAGTCACAGACAGCAAAGTCCCACCGCTCACGCAGGTTTCTAACCTGTGTACAGGACCTCCACCTGACACAGGATGTACACGGTCCCACTAGGGGGAATGCCATACTGGATCTGGTATTGGCAACGGGGGATGACATGGTAGGGGACCTCCAGATCGGTAGCCATCTGGGGGTCAGTAATCACCTAATAATAGAATTCACCATAAGACGTCGAGTGGGTAAGGTAACTAGCAGGGTGAAAGTGCTAGACTTTAGGAAAGCTGATTTCATTGAACTCAGGCGATTAGTCAAGGACGCACTGCAGAGTAGGAGTTTTGAGGAGATGGGAGCCCAAGAAGGGTGGCTGTGCCTTAAGGAAATGATCCTTCGG